TATATCCCAGTGGCTCCCAACATCAAAAGACCATTGGGATGACGGCTGGAAAGCTTTTAAAAATCTAGATGCTCCAGCCACACCCCAGGCCATTTGAACCAGATTCTCTAAAGGTGGCAACCAGGCATCAGCATTTCCCAAAGCCTGCAGGTGATTCCGTTGTGCAGCCAGATTGAGAAGCCTGCTCTAGACCAGCTTGTCTCACTCCTTTACTTGAGGAGACAGGTCCAGAAAGAGGCTGGGGACCACAATGACACAGACAGTGAGGGAAAGACTCGGGGGGGGGGGGCCTGAGCCAGAGAGCTTTCCAGGGTACATGGGGTCCTCTCCTATCTTGTGTCAGGGAGTGGGGAGGAGGCAGGTAAGCCTGGGGATGGAGGACAGCGGGAACTCAAGGGTCAGCTCGGGGTGCCCAGAACCACCCAGACCCCGGGACGCTCTCCAGGCTGGGGCCAGGCTGTGCTCCCCACATGGATCGAGCCCTCACGTTTCACCAAGGAGGGCCATCAGGCCTCCAAGAGCCCTGTGGGTGTGCAGAGCAGATTATCACCCCGTTTACAGATGGGGAGTTGAGGTTCAGAGAGGCCAGACCCCTGGTCCCAGGGTACAGCCATCTGTCATGTGAGGCCTTCTACATTGCGGAAGCTCTGACTTTTCCCTCACTGATTGTAAGACATGTGTACCCCCTTCCCCTTCAGAGTTTCTAGAATTGGGTTGTGTCTGACGAACGATGCTTTCAGGTCTCTACTCCAGGCACTAAGGGGACACGATTGTGACTGGCAGAGCCCATGCATAGGAGGTGTCCATTCACCTGAGTCTTACTAAATTAGTAGCATTACAATGGTGGCATTTCATCTTCATTTGGATCGCCGGGTGGTGCTTTAAATACCTTCGGAAAGATCAGTTGAGGCCACCTTCCTGCTCTTGGCTCCCCTGGCCTCTGTCCCAGGTTCCCCTTCCTGCTGTCCTCATCTACCCAGGGCACCCTCTCTTACCCTGACCCCAGCAACGAACTCTCTCCTTCTTTCCAGAACTTTCCCTTTAGGTAAAGGTCCTATGGTCCAGAAAGCCTGTCCTTTTCATCTTGGTGTCCTCAGGGTCCAGTACAAGGCCTGGTGTGTAGTAGGTGCTTAATGCAGAGGCAGCTGGAAGCTGAGTGAGGTAGAAGGCCTGCAGTGACCACCGGGCTGAGTGCAAACAGGCTCAGGAAGCGACCCACCTGGAAATGGCCATAGGCCCTAACTGACCAAGTACAACCAGGCGCAGTTCCTAAGATTACCAAAAAGGAGAAAATTCCACATGTTCCCATGCTCCCTCACTCCGCCCTGTAACTGTGGCCCCCTCACCACCACCTCATCCCAGAGTCTCTCCCTCGCTGTCATGCCCGCTACCCCCTCATGGTGTATTCCGTAAACTTCCATCTCCTGTGTCCTGCCTTGGGTGAATCCTTTCAGCACCTGCACCGCCAGCCCCCATCCCCACATTTGGTGGCCCCCCCATCGGATCAGAGCGCCCCACACTTAGTATAAGTTCGTGGAAGGACAGAGGACAGCCCAGCCCAGGGTCCTTCGGGGGACCTCCCTCCCACTCCCAGGCAAAGACTGCTTCTCCCTTCTTGGCTCTCCCAGTAAGTACCCCCTGAAGCACCTCACACTGCCCTGGGTCTGAGCTGTGTCACTCCCGAGTTCCCGTGTTGAAATCCTCCCCCTCTAGCTGATGGTATTAGGAGGTGGGGCCTTTGGGAGGTGCCTAGGTCAAGAGGGTTCTGGGATTAGTGCCCTTATTAAAGAAACCCCAGAGGGGGAGGGGGAGGAAAGAAGAAGAGGGGGGTCACTCTGCCCACACTCACCTCCCTGCTTGGCCTGGCCTCCTGCAGCCTGGGAAGTGGATCCCCACCCCCGCCCCGCCCTGGCAATTTGCCTTCCTTCCACAAGGCTTTCCTTTCTGCGTAGCAAAGCATGGGGGCAAGAAGCCAACTTCTGGGTCAGCCCCAGAGATAGGGTCCGTTCACCAACATTTATTCAGTACCTCCCGTGTGCCAGGCGCGGTGTGACCTGGGACAAATCCCTGAACATCTCTGAGCCTCCATTGACCAATCTGACCCGGGAGCTCACACCCGTGTGTGTGAAATGCCCAGTATGTGCCAGGCTGTGAGCAGGTGTCGTGTTCCCGCTCTCTTCTTTCCGTGCCCTAGGTCTTTGTCCAGATGCAGAAAGGACCCCAGAGGGAAGGTGGGTCCGGCATTCCTCACTGGAGAAACTGAGGCCCCGGGGAGGACAAACTTGCCCAGGGGAACACCTCGAGCGTGCCCAGGCTTCCCACTGCCCAGCTCCCAGCCCCAACCCTGGAACCAACAGGCTGAGTGCATTCCCCCCTGCCCCCTGTTGTTGGGGACCCCTGGACCCCAGCAGCAAAAGACACAGACCCATGGTGCACGTGCACTTTCAGCTTTATTTCTTTCCATGCCAAGCAATACAGAGGAGCCAACTGGAGAGTGTGGTGCTGGGTGGTGGCGGGGTGGGGCGG